TTTTTTTTTTTTTTTTTTTTTTTTTTTTTTTTTTTGCGATAGAATGTTGCATGCAATAAAATATTGCATTGGATTTTTAATTATTTTTATAATTTTATATATTTAGATATATTGGAAGTAAATAATTAAACCTATAAAAAGAATAATTTTTTTACAAATATTAAATTCTATTTTACCATTAGGATATATAAAAAGTTGGTTAATTATTACATTACACAATTTTTGTCATTTGAAAACTTGCATAAGTAGTTGAACAAAATAAAATTTCTTTTTGTAGAAGGGTGTTTTGGTAATCAAATTTATTTTGATTCCAATTCTTTAGAATCGGATTTATTTTTCATTATGATTCCTAATAGTTAGTAAGCAGTTTAATTGAAATGTTGACTCTGATTCATGCTTACCCCGATTCCTAATTAGTAAATATACCGAGTCATTACAAGTATGGATTTAATACACTAATATTTTGTAAAGGAAAGCATTACCTTCTCTTTTGTTTACCAAGACTTCCAACCTAAATGATTATCACTTCATCATTCATAGAACTAGTGGATTCCATGAGGCTTCTGGCCTGTCACGGTTATTTATTAGCGTCTTTTTTTATATAGAAATTATACTCGCTGAAGGTAATTTATTTTTCGGGTCAAATTAAAAAGTTAATAATTCTAATCTTATAAGAAACTGGGCTACAGAACTTGCATGGGAAGTCACTAAAACAGAGGAGTGGTTTGTGCTGTGCATATCCACCTCAACTTCGACTCAGCATTTGCTGCCTTCCTTATTGAGCCACTGCTGGATCTTAATATTCAGTTTATAAACAGTTCTTACTTGAGCATTACCCTTGTATTTCCAATGTTTTCAAATATTCTTGGCAGCCAACAATTATTGAAACCAAATATTCCCAACTTTTCTACTTTTAGTTTACAGTTGCAATGTTGAAATTGTCTGCATTGACGATATATATAGTGTCCGAATTTCGTTCGATCCCATGAGTTGAAAGAAATGTTTTGCAAATCCATAGCTCTGTGGTTGTAGACAACTGATCTTGCTATACAATGTACTTAAATATGAATACAGAGAATCCAAATGCAGAAACACATGCAGCACTCTAAAATCTTTATTTGCATTAATACATCATCAAAACTGATTCTTCCATTCGCATAAGTACAACTCAAAGACAGAGCAAGGTTACATAGAAGGAGAAGGAAGAAAACACAAGAAAACGACTATAAATGCGCATGACCTTATAACAAATTCAATTTCTGCATCCCCTGCTCTACCTTTTCCGTATCATTAGCCTGACCATTCCTACGATCTTAAGAAACAACTCCTGCCTTCTTGTGACCACGACATCCGCAAGAACCACTCCCACTACCAACCCACTTCCAACTCCAGCCAAACCAAATATCAAATCAAATTCAAGAGTTGGAGCTGAGCCTGAATCACTGTCTTCTTCAGTTGAAAATGGCTGTTGAGGGGCCTCTCGATTTCCACATTTATTTGGTAATGGATCTCCACACAATCCTGGGTTTCCCTCATATGAAGTGCTGTTGAATGAAGTAAGTTGGGTTCCTTGCGGTATAGGACCTGTGAGATTGTTGTGAGACACATTAAAGTTCCCAAGGAATGTAAGCTGCGTCAGTTGTTGGGGGATCTGTCCTGAGAGCTTGTTCTTTGAAAGGTCCAATGATTCAAGATTCCTTAAGCTCCCCAAGGATGATGGAATTGAACCAGTGAGAATGTTACTGGAAATATTGAGTGAGTGGAGCTCCTTAAGGTCCCCAATGAATTCTGGAATCTTACCTGTAAATTTGTTGCTTGAGATATCAATTGTTGCAAAGCCTTCTTGAATCTTTGAATAGTACAACTCCAGACCCTTAATTGCTATTGTGATTGAGTAAGGAATACTCTGACGAACAATATAAGCATCATTGACTTGATAGACTACGTATGCGGATATATGTTGACTTGTTTACAGTAATATCTGGAAACAAAGGTGGAATCTCACCGGTGAAATTGTTGTAAGACAGATCAAGAATACGTAACTTGGGGAAGTCAACATTTGTTCTAGACTGTCCTATTACACCGTTGAACCGATTATGGCGCATTGCCAGAAGTTTCAACTCTAGAAGAGTCCCCAACCAAATGGGGAAAACATCACTAAATTGATTGTTTGACAGAACCAGGTACTCAAGCATCACACAATTCGCCAATGACCTCGGTAATTGCCCGTGCAATTGGTTATGACTAACGTCAATCATCCTTAAACTACTTCTATTGTTGTATGATTGAGGGATCATGCCATTAAAAGAGTTGCTTCCAAGAAGTAAAAGGATTAGATCATCACTAAAGTTTCCGAGACACACTGAGGAAGCGGTATGATTGAGGGATCATGCCATTAAAAGAGTTGCTTCCAAGAAGTAAAAGGATTAGATCATCACTAAAGTTTCCGAGACACTGAGGAAGCTTGCCACTCAAGTTATTTTTCGACAAGTCAAGGTACACAAGAGAACTCATATTGCAAAGCAATGGTGAAATTTCTCCAGTAAATTTGTTGTTGGTCGCTCCATATTCTAGAAGGGATGGTGGAGGGATCGGTAATCGTCCTTGAAAACGGTTGAACGAAAGCCTCAAGCATTGTAGTTTAACCCAGGGTATGACAGCTGGAAGTTCTCCTGAAAATAAGTTTCCAGAAATGTCCATGAATATCAAGGTCTCCTTGCTTAAATTCCACATCCATTTTGGTACTTCACCACCGATTTTGTTGTCTGCCAGATCCAACCGCCTCAAATTTTTCTGATTTTGTAGGAAATATGGGAACTCTGTTAAATTGCATGAACTCAAACCCAAAATGGTGAACTGTCGAAGAGTTGCGTTCATAAAATTGGATCCGGTAACAAATTCAAAGTTGTTCCAACTCAATTGGAGTTGGTGGAGATTTTGTTGCTTCTGAAACATTTGAAACTCCACTACACCGCTCAGGTTATTTGACTGTAGATAAAGGATCTTGAGATTGGTGAGATTGGAAAATGAGGCGGGAATTGAACCAGTCAAATTATAAAAAGCAAAATCTAGGTAAACTAGTTTGCTAAAGTTACCTAGCCAAGATGGAATGGGACCAGTTAAATAACTCGTACTAATCCTAAACACAGTCAATTGGGTAAGGTTTGCCAAGGAATCAGGAATGGGACCTCCAAATTTGTTTGCTGAAATGTCCAGATAAGTGAGCTGTCTGAGATTACCAAGTGCAGATGGAACCAACCCTTTTGAAAAATTACATTGAGCCACATCCAACTCTTGCAATGAATTAAGCTTTTGAATCGAAGAAGGTATTGTTCCCAAAAAACTAGCAAACCCAACATCCAGTGAGATGAGAGGACTACTTCGATTAAATTCAGGAAAATATCCAGTGAGATCTTGGTTGTATCTAACACTAAGACTTTTTAAGTTTGGTAGATTGAAAATTCTCACTGGGAACTCACCAACTAGATCACATTCCTTGAGAGCAAGGGATGTTAAAAATGATAAATTTGTCAAGGAAACGGGTATGATCGATGATATGTTAATGAAACTGAGATAAAGAGTTTCTAGACTAGTTAAATTTTGAACCAGACTTCTCATATCGGATGGTTGAAGTTTCAACAATCGCTGAGGATCATCAGGAGATGTTTCAATTTCACGAATATTGCAACACAGATCAAGGTATGTCAACTTGGACAAGTGTGAGACTTCAGATGGGACTTGACCGGAAAAGAGAGAGGCAGCGAGGTCAAGATGAGTGAGGCTTGGAAAATTTCTTATGCTAGGTGGAATTTGAGAGTAATTGAAGTTATTGTCAGAGAGGCTTAACCTTTGGAGATGCACCAGGCTGAACAGGCTACTATTAGAGTCGAAAGAGCCGTAGAGATAACTGCTGCTGAGATTAAGGCCAATAACATGACCCGTCATCTCGTCACACTTCACGCCGTCCCACGAGCAGCAACTGCTATTTCCTCCTCTAGCTGGTTTCCATGATGAAACCTTTGGATAAGCACCCTTAGAACCTGAAGCAGATTTGTCAATAATAAAGCTCTCCTTGAACTGCAGCAAGGCAGAGCTCTCCTCGGCATGGCAAGATGGCTGCTGCAAAGAGTCTACAAAGTTAGCAACCACAAGATGAAACAGCAGTAGAACTACTACTAGTTTCGAGAGCATGTGAATCGACACGTTCCCCATAATGTTTTTGATATTTTTTGTGTGCACTCTTAGCTAAAGAATCATATGTGAAAGTGAAAGCTGGAGAGCTATCTATTTATGGACAGGCCGTGTGATCAAATGGTTGACATAAACGTGTTTGAGTTCAGGTCAAGTAGCAATGCATTTATGGGTAATGGACGTGTTCAGCATGACAGCATCAGCTCTTTCTTGGGGATTTCCTCATCGTTTCTTCGGTTTCTTGGCCTGACTTTTGAGTCTCTGTTTTGTGGAAATTATTTTGGCACCACATGTGAGATTTCTTTTGTCCTCTTGAGAGTTCACATTTAAGGGGTTGTCCTTTCATCATTGATTGTTTTGTTTGTACAGTTTTGGTTGTTAAAATATCAACACCAGCAGCGTGAATGGCTTGTAAGAAGTCAAGAACTAGCTTTCCATCTTTGGATATGTAAGCATCATTGAACCTCATCACTCATCACTCAGAAACTTTAGAAACTTGATCATTTTCATTGTTAGAGTTGGTTGCGATGCTTTCATCAGCCTCATCACTCAGATTATATGTCTTGAGGAGAGAACCTGATGGCTTTTCATTATTACCTAATGCAACCTGTAACAAAGTTCCACCAAAGCAACTTCATATAAATACCATTCAAAATAAGCTCCCTTTGATGTTAAAGTCTAAATGACAATGTTAACATAATTATTGTGATGGCAAGACGGCTGCTGCAAAGAGTCTACTAAGTTAGCAACCACAAGATATTTCCTCATCAGCTCTTGGGGAATTCCTCATCGTTTCTTCGGTTTGTTGGCCTGACTTTTGAGTCTCTGTTCTGTGGAAATTGTTTTGGCACCACATGTAGATTTCCTTTGTCCTCTTGAGAGTTCGCATTTAAGGGCTTCTCCTTTCATCATTGATTGTTTTGTTTGGTTCGTTTGTAATAAGGAAACAAGAGCGTGAAGGTTAGGTACTATGTCATAGGGAATTTGAATTTCTGAGGAGAATTGCTTTCGGTGGGAAATTTGCTGTAAGGAAGACTTACTGAGGAGCTTGGCGCTTTAAATAATAGTAAATAAAATAAAAAAAAACATTTGTTTGTTTTCTCTCTCCTCTTGGGTTTCTTTACCCTCCTCCATCTGGTTGAAGTTTGGAATTTAGCTAAAAGTCGGGAGTTTAAAAAAGGAGAATTGCTTTCGGTGGGAAATTTGCTGTAAGGAAGACTTACTGAGGAGCTTGGCGCTTTAAATAATAGTAAATAAAATTAAAAAAAAACATTTGTTTGTTTTCTCTCTCCTCTTGGGTTTCTTTACCCTCCTCCGTCTGGTTGAAGTTTGGAATTTAGCTAAAAGTCGGGAGTTTAAAAGAAGAAATTGACAATTCCCTTGTTTGGTAACTTAAACTCGAAATTTATTAAATGAAGCGCATAAAAAATCGTGGAAATTGGGGCATCAAATTCTTGAGTTTAATTTCCACCAAAATAAGCGTCATTTTACAATTTTCATGGTGCCATGTACAAAATTCGACATATATAAATCCAAACACTGAAATCTTCAATTGCCAAAAAATTGAAATTATAGAAATCTAAATTACGTCATTTTAGAATTCTATATAATTTTCAATTCCTTCATCCAAACAGAATGAAATCAGATTTCGATCAAAAGAAAAGAGACATTGTAATATACTCTATTTTTATATCATATTCGACAAGCGAGAGAGTGTGATAAAAGGAACAAATTCTTTGATTGGTCTATATTCTAAAAGCAAAAGCATTGTAATATAAGAAAGAAAGAACAGTACGTAGCTATGGGAACAAATTCTTTGATTGGTCAATGAATGTATATTTCAGTGACCACTCAAATATAGCAATTAAGCCCTACAAATCTAACACTAATAAGAAAAATAGACGCACTAATATTACATTTTGGGTTGATTACAAATGTCTTGTAGAAACAAAAGCGCCCTTACATTACATGTTACATGTTGTGATTGCATTTTACCACGTCAGATTTCATCTATTATTTTGATGAAACTTATTAATTGAATTTGATTGCAGACCAAATCAAGCTACAGGGTTAGAACTACCTGAATTGAAATGACAAGAAATAAAATGAAAAGTCTTTCTTTAGGGGCTCATTCTTCTTCTTCTACGTTCTTAATTATTTTAGTCAAGTTATTTTTACTTATGTATCAATCTTATTGATATTTTTTTTCTTAATTTGAAAGATATAAAAAAAATAAATTGGAATCTCCCTGATATTGTTGAGAAAAAAATTCTTATTTTTAACCTTTGAAAGAAAATTTTTAGTAATAGCTCATGAACTCAAATCTGGGACCCATAAGTGCTTGGATGACGGTGGTTTTTTTTCTTTTTTAATTAATTTTTAAATATTATGTGAATATTTTATTACACCTAAACAAAATAAATAAATAAAAATATGGTACCCATAAGTGCAACGTAGGCAACTAACAAGTGACAGAAACTCTATTAAAAATATGGTACCTATTAAATTTAATTTTGATTATTAAATTACTTTGATTCCCTATTGAGTATTTTGGGTTTTTTTATGAGGTTTTGGGATTAGGTTTGTTTTAAGAAATCGATGGAAGTTTTGTAATTTATAATAAGCTAAAAGGCTTTTTGTTAAATTGTAAATGGGCTTGGGTGTGTTTCTAAAGTCCATTTCATATAAGGGTTTTTTTATATATAACAATTTGGGCCATTGTATTGAGTATAACAATTTGGGCAATTTAATATTCAGTTTATAAACAAGTCTTACTTGAGTTTAGCATTGCCCACTTAAGCTAAATAATCATCTATGAAAGTGAAAGAGCTATCTATTTATGAATGGGATAATCAAATGGCATTGCATACAATGTTGTTCGTTGGAGGGAATGGTGGATCAGATGGATTGAAGCTGAAGACTTAGGAATTGGCATGAAATGGGGTGTTTTAGGGATGCATTGTGCTTTTGGTATGGGAAGTATTGTGCTTGTGGTGTAATGTAGTGTGCTTGTGGTGTAATGTAGTATGCTTTTGGTTAGGGTCTGCACTGTGCCTTTGGTATGGAAAGCACTGTGCTTTTGGTTATGTAATGGGAATGAACATTTTGGCTATGTAATGGTAATCTGAACAGATAGAGATGAGTGCAACTTACAAGTGATGAGGACGATCTAGCAGATCGATTGAGTGATAGATGCAGATCCTTCTTGTCCTTGGATGCAGATCCTGAATAGAAGAGAGTTTGACATTCGTGAGGTCTATGGAACCGGTGTGGAACCAGCCTAAGACCCTCCGATGCTCAAGTAAGATTGTTGATAAGAGCTCTTGTTGTTGACCATATAAAAGTATAGAAGTCAAGCTGAAAAGTCTTACCCCTATATTGTAGTGGAGGGGCCTATTTATAGAGGGCATTTTGTATGCTCTTAGTACTCATTTTCGATGTGGGACTCGTGGGAGGGCCCTCTGAGGTCGACACGAGTCTTTAGATATTTTGGGCGGATACTTCGAGGTTGATTATGTACAATCGGTAAGGGATGCCGATTGTAGACGAGCTGGGCTTGTAATGGCTGTTCGCAGCTTTGAGACAATGCCATCGGTGGCCGATGCCGATTGTCCAAGGCCTTGGGTACTTGGGCGAGT